AAATATATGAATCAAGCAATCTGTCTCACAGTTTCAGGAAAGTTGAAAATAATACTTCTCCATAGAAGAGAACTAACAAAATCTTCACTAAGATTAGAAAACTTTATGAACAAATTGTGAAGACCATTCCCATGATGACTGAGTGCAATCTGGCGGAGGTAGTCATTGAAGATATGAAACGTTATTAACATCATAGGTTAGAAAGATAAAAAAAAAACATCAGAAAATTAAACTTACCAGTTTTGCCGATAAATTGTCAATTTACTTATTTTACTAAAAAACATACTTTCCTTCACTTGACATGCTACCTATACTAAATAGACAAACTTCCCAAGGGGATTGCAAGTTGCAAGCCTGTTCTCATGTACATTGATGGTTCTAATGTGTTGTTCTGCAGCAATTGCAAGTGACACCTGCTTGATGATTGCTATGTGTAGTCCTGCCCGTTATGTTAACAGGTGAGGGAGACCTAGAGACATGTTGGCATTTTATCCATTAATTCCATTTATTGGTCCGTCCTATCCATGACTCAGCTGATTGTTCCTTGTAGTGCTATCATCGTTATAATCATTTCTGACAATGTTGCCAAGTTTTGTCCAGTGCTGAATGAATCCTTTGAAATTCAAAACAGGGGGGGGTGTTCATATTTACCCAAGATATTGTCATGCATTGGAAAGAGGAGGGAATAGCGGATGTAGATTTTGCTGCCACAGTCCTTAGCTAGTTACAATCTTCTCTTTTTTCATCCCTCATGAATGTCAAACCTTTTCACCTTGACCTGAGACTGTTTCATGTCAGATTGTTAAAAATCAGATATCTTTAGGGTGATATTATTGGCATCCAATGTTCCTTTCCATCCAATGGTCCTCAAATAATTGCTTACAGACTAAAAATACATTATTTTATTGTATCATGAACAATATCTCAATTAAGGATACGTTTATCAATACAGATTATTATTACATGATTGAACCAGAAACTCTAGCTATTTCTTTTTTTTGGCGTCTAACTGCATCACCTAGAGTCAGTACATTTAAATGCACATCCAAATGAGAGAGCCACTTTTTATATACAGTTACATCTTTTGGATTCACATACATTTGTTGTCAACATTGTTACTTTGTCATTCCTGAAGAAAAGTTGTCTTCTTCTGTCAAAACACCAACAAATAGCCAATAGCACTGTCGAGAGGTTATTATAGCCATAGGGTTATTTTTCACAGCCTTCATGGCATCGAGTTTTCACACAGAATTCCATGACAAGAGTACTGTGATATTAATTTTACATGCATGGAGGGCAGGAACAATACTCAAACTGGATGCCATTCTCCTGACTATGTCGGTCATGCAATGGAAACCACAATCCTTATACACTAGGGTTACTACATCCATTCTATATGTCATTTGTGATGCTTACAGTGACACACTGTGCATTTGAGATAATTATTAACTTCTTGATGGATACCTGAATGTCATTGATGTTAAGTGTGTTGCCTGGCAAGTTGATTTCATATTCTCCCAATGCTATTAAAACAAATCAATCATTGTAAACATGTTCAATGTATGTTCACTTGACAGAAGAATCTGTTCGGTTGTGGTGCCCCTTCAGTTGTTGTGCCCTTGTTGCTTTTTCCCAGCTTTCAGCGAAAAGTGGTTTTATTTCAGTCTTTCAAACATTTTTTTTAGCCCTTCATGATGGAGTCCAACTTTGAGCTGATAAGGTTGGTAAGCATTGAATTTTTACGGCTGGATGTACTTGATTAAAGTCCACTTTCCAGTTGGCATTGATGGCATTACTGTATTGGTGTCCAGCAATATCAATCTTGGAAAAGCTTCTTTCTACTGCATCAAATTAAGAAGTGATGCTGATGATGTGGTTGGTTGAAGGCTGCCCTCACAGGCTAGATATGTGATGCTTTTGTATTGTTACCCCCCCCCCCCCCACCAAGTTGTTTTTTGTGGTGCTAAACTGGCCCATACGAAAAGAAATGCATGTCAAGTGAAGGTACTGTACGTTTATCTTGTTCTACTACTTAGTTACACTAAAACAATTTGAGTGAGATGGTCTGTGTACAAACAAAATATGGACTGTTTATGGTGTCTGGTGTCTGCGAGTAAAACAATAGAGGAGGTGATGTTGCCTAGAGGATAGTTGTGTATTAGGTCAGATGGAATACATGCAGAAATATGCACACAGTTAGAGTTTCAGATCAGTTAGCACGTCACCTCACCAGCTGTTTTACTGGATTGCTTTTTATCCTCTTTGCTTGTCTTTGCATTATCAGGTTGAGAGAGCTTTGGGTGCTCACTCATATCCTTGTCGTGTTGCTCCGCAAGAGACTGCCAATTCCTGCGGTTATTTAGACAACCCTCGAAAAGAGGTTTCAGAAGTGGCTCCAAGTCTGCGAAAGTCTAAATTGGAGAAAATAACAGAAACATAACACAAATAAAGAATAGGATAAATAAGAAGCTGTGTGTGAGAGAAAATCAATAAATTGACTCTAACCCTCAAGCTCATGATCATCCGCCAAGGCCTGCCAGTTATTTCTGTTTGTTTTAACACCGTCATAGAGTGGCATCAGCCCTGGCCACACATCTGCAAACATCTAGAAATGATCAGAGGAAAAACAAGAGAAGTGATGATGAGGTAGGTTTCCATGGAAACCATGTGATTGAATCTTGTTAGTACAAGGAAGTTGTAGTTAATGATAAATTGAAAAAAAGGTGGGAAAAATACAAAGCTGACGTTTTTAAAGCCTAAAGAAATGTTACAAGTAACAATGAAAAAGATATAGGGTTAAAAATGATACGAACATGCAGTTAGTAAAAAGTGATTTAAAGTATAAACTGAAAATGAAATTATTTTATGAATCAAACGAAAACAGTATGACAGAGCGGAATGATGACAAAAGCCAGCAAAAAATATTTGTCTGTTATTGTGTGCCATGCAGTGGTCTAAAATGGCTAGGCTTTTGGCGTTTACTACTACGTTACCACTGGCTAAAAGTTTACTCACATGTGAACAAAGCAAAAAAAACTCTCAAGATTGAAATTAAGAAAGGATGATCCTTGATATCTTGGACTGATTTAAGTTTAGACAACATTACATGATAAGTATTAACTGCTACTTTATTGGGTGAGTCACTTAACAGTTCTTTCACAAAATTTTCACCCCAAATTGGAAACCAGTCTGATGCGGAAAAAAACATGACGGCTAGAAATATAACTAGTAAGACTTCATTCTACATTCACTTCAATCATTTTCTGTAGATTTTCTGGGGGAAATGATTTAAAAAGGTGATATTTAACACAATTACCGGTACATGCGATACTGATTTTGGGCAAAGTGTTTTTAACTATTTTTTTTAATGTTTTGAATAAACAACAAATGCAAAGTTCTTGTCAAATCATTTTGAAATCTACAGTCCTAGACTAAATAATCATCTAAATATGTTGGCAATATGTTTCAACCTGAAATGTAAGCTTGAATGATCAAGCTTCTAATAAAGGAATTATAATTTTTTGTCAATAAAGTTAGCTCTTATACATAAGAAACTGTTGATGGAAATTGACAATTCAGATTCTGAGGTGTACATCAATTCAACTTGTTCTGGCAAAAATAGTATATCATATCACACATATGCATTTGCAATCCAATTCAAGATGGCTGACTGGCAGCCATTTTTTTATGTCTACCATTCTGGAACTGGGTATCCTGGATAAAATACCCTATTTAATCATAAAATAAAAACATGTGGACTAAACACATGACAATTGTCAGCAAATATTTGCAAATGACAGTCAAATGACATATTTCCAGGAAGAGCCAGATGTCTTATTTTTTAGGTATAAAAAACATGAATGTCAACGTGTGTCAACATAAAGTTTCATTTAGAGGATGAGGTGTCAGCTGATGCGGAGTTTGTAAACAATCCAGGATCATTCTTTCTTAAACTATACTGATAGATAATATATATTATTTAAAACAACATTTTTTAACGATGGTGATAACAGATTGGGTAACCTAATATCATAAATATTGAACAAAAATTGCCTTTATTTCATAAGACACATAAAATGAGTGGAAAACCCTAGAATTTCATAGTTCATAAATTAAATTAAATAAAAAATCTAGTCTTTTATCACCACCCCCTATCTTTGAATAAGTGCAGCAAGTTGTTTTGAGTGAAAGCTGGAACTAGCATTCACGCTATTTTTATGTTTTTAACAAGAATATATTGATAAATATCAATTTTAATAAAATTTATTTTTAAAAACTTATATTAGTAAAGAACTGAATAAAGTATGAGAGACTTTCCTGCACTTATCAAAAAATGTAAAAAAAATAAATTACTTTTATATTTATTTTTATGTAATTATGTCAGGATTTCTGGAGATTGATGTGACTGAATTTTTAGTGATTGTCAACAATTTAGTCAAATTCACAACAATCAAATCATGAAATTGCTTACATTTGAAGATGCTTACGAGTTGAAGATGCAAATCAATACTTATGATCTGATTGAATTTGTAGTAATTGGTAAAAGAAAAAATGGTGAAATGCCAAATGAAGTAATCTGGTGAAAAAACAAATCGAATTTATGGTAGATTGGAAAAAATTCAATGAATTTCTTGTAGTTAATGAAAGACTCAATGAAATGCACTCCTGGGAAATATGTCAAGGCCCCAAATACATTTTAGAATGATTAGTGACAATCTAATTTGGCTTGTGATAGATTGTGGTGACACGTATACAGAGATATTTATTGTCAATTGTAAGTCAGTATAAAAACTGAGGTACGTAGATTACTAAACATACAGAGAATCAAAACATTAGTTGTGACGTTTATTGACATGCAACTGATAAATAAAACTAAATGATTAATGGCACTTCTAAATAAATGTTCAGTGGCTGGAAAACACGATATAATGAATTCCTGATTTTTGCAATTTCCTTGACAATCCATGTTTACCTTATAAACTGGCGTACAGATTGCATCAATGAAGCCTACTTGCATCTTGGGAAGTTCATCCTTCTTTTCACGGTCCATCATTGCCTAAGGGAGGGAACCAGTACAACTTGTGTAGGTTTTTCACAACTAGTCACAACAACAATTTTGCATTAACAAACAGTTGAATAGAGTCACATGGCCATCATAGAGGTTTCTCATAGGATGAAAAACCAGTAATGCAATGAGGTCACATGATTCTATTTTTATCACACTTTTCTTGGTCACTGTTGATTGAATATTATAATAAAATGTTATGTTAATGTCATTTTGAGTAAAGAAGGAATCTATCATTTTACTGAATTTGCATAACTTACTATTGGTTGTTGACCGAGTTGAGTTTTTTCTAGATCACCTTGTTCAAAGAATTCACTAGCAACCATTTCAGCAACCCGATGTTGAATTTCCCATGGTTTGGTGATGGCAGAAACGTCACATGCAGTCATCATCATTCCCCTATAAGCAGAAAGAAATCAAGTTTTTTGTACATTTAGTTGAGTAAAGGAACCAGTAATTAATGTTTTCTAAGTACTGTATATGGGTCAAAGATAGTGGATACGTTTTTGAAAAATCAATCGCTGTCACAATTTGGTTTCAAGTACAAATGTTCTTTATCAGAGACAGGTCTTTCAAACTGATACATTTCCTCTGCAATTTTGACTCAATCTTTCTGGTTTTCCACTTTCCAACATTTAAAACACAATCATGTCTACACATCAGACAGTAGGAACAAGACATTTTGATTGTTTGACATGTATTTACACAAATAAAATGTCATACAGGTTAAAAGTTGCTGGTGTTTGTGGCTGTAACCTGTGTGTAAGCATTTCGGTAATTTGGATTTAATATCATTCTAAACAGTACCATGGTTCATTTTTTGACTGCATAATTTCACTGCTAATGATCTCATGAACATTTGAGAACGACACTTCTTTAAAATAATGTACTAAATCTTGGATGTTGTTCCAAGAAACATCTGCCACTTATGATGGCTCCTCACCTCAGTAGATCTTTCTTTTCATCATCGTCCCACTTACAGTCACCCTTTTCCACCAAACTGCTAAACTGTCCACGTTTTCTGAAACAATGAAATGGAACATTCAATGCATTGGCCTGTAGTTGGTTTTATGACTGAACTTACCTAGGCATTGAAAGAATAATGTATGTACTCAGTTAAACAGTTTAATACCGCTATCTAAACTTACCGAAAGTAAAGTGCCAAATCTGTAGATAAAATTGCACTTTCTAGTATTTTAATAGCTCTTCGATAGTCTTCATGGGAAAGAGAGGCAAATATGTTGTTACCCTGCAGATGAACAGACATCATTTACATAATCAATATCTAAGTAATGAATGAAATCATTAATAAAATGTAAATTCTCAATGTGCTGGAAATGTTGTTTCAATAAATTAAAACCTAAGCCCGTCCACATAAATTTTGGTTGTGTCTATAGCCCACTGAGTACCCCCCAAAATGCCTTGACTTTGAATGGAAAAAGCTATGATATTCATCAAATATTAATGATCAGGTAATTACATTAGATAGTCACTGTTATAAAGTTTAAGAATAATAATATAATGAATAATATTCCAGATGTGTCTCTGGAACAAAATTCGCTTAATCAAAATGGCAGCCAGTCGGCCATTTTGAATCTGACATGCATCAAGTTTTATCACTCTGTTCCATTTCAATGAACGTGCTGCTTCCATACAGCAAAGAGATCTGAATAAACCCACCCTGGAAACAGACATAATCTTCAAAAAATAAAAACATTTTTACGATATATTTACCTCACTATTTAATATCATGATGCAATGATCGAAATGATGATGCTCCATGGTGGATGTTCCATAAAGTATTGCCAATGGAGAGTCAGCCCTTCAAGCAAAAGAAATCAGTATATTTACAAACCTCTGATAAGCAATCAAAGTAGACATGACCCTAAGACTCAAACACCCTTATAGTTGTTATTCAACTCAACTGGGAAACAAATTTAAACAAAACAAGTCATTGAAAATGACACAGTCCCCGTTAAGTTCTCTTTGTGCTCGTCATATTAAAGCGGAGGGGTTGTCGCGAGCGTGTCCTTGAAACTTGAGTTTCAAGTGGCGTATACAACAGATTGTTTATTTACATCAAAACACGTGTTTCGTGTCATAGTAATATGGCCAAAATAAAAACAGCCGTTATTCAGCCATCTTTGATCTGATTATGAAACACACTGATATGTATGATGTATGTGCCAAATACGAATGAAAATGGTACATAAATTGTGGAAATATAGTAGTAAGGCCAAAAAGTCAGATGGCTGTCAATCGGCCATCCTTGACCAGATTTTGAAACAAATTGTCATGGATATGCATCCTAACATGTATAAAGTACATGTATGTGCCAAATTTGAATGAAAACTGACAGAGCACGTCCAAGATACCGCATAAAAAAACAAAAACAAGATGCCTGCCAGTCGACCATCTTTGATTCATCATGGACATGTATCCTAACATGTATAATCTATGTACCAAGTTTGAATGACAACTGACAAAGCATGTCCAAAATACAACATTTTCAAAAAACAAGATGGCTGCCAGTCGGCCATTTTGAATCGAATCGCTAAACCACTGCATGTGCATATGTCCCACATAAGGTACTAGGCACATGCAAAGAATGAACGGAATCGGTCCACAGGATTCTGAAATATGACGTTGGATAGACTGACGCACGGACAGACGGGCACACGGACGGTCGGACGGACAGACTCACGGACGGTCGGGGACATGTATCCTAACATGTATGATCTATGTACTAAATTTGAATGAAAACTGACATGTCCAAAATACAACATTTTCAAAAAACAAGATGGCTGCCAGTCGGCCATTTTGAATCGAATCGCTAAACCACTGCATGTGCATATGTCCCACATAAAGTACTAGGCACATGCAAAGAATGAACGGAATCGGTTCAAGGGACTCTGAGATATGACTCCGGACGGACGCACGGACACACGGACGCACGGACACACGGACGAACGGAGACCGAATTATAAGTCCCCGTTTTCGGACTTCGTCCGAACGGGGACTAATAATATTTTTCAATGCGACCAAACTTGACAAATTATCGAAAATAAGCTTACATGATAGTAGAGCTTACATGTTAAAAGGTCAAAATTCTGGCTCTAACTAACCCGTTTGACTTATGGGCCATAAACAGGCATGTATCTGCAAGGCCACGCAATATTGTTTATGATGCTTTAATGAAAATTATATTCAACAACAAATCGATTAAAGAAGAAAAACAATGTACGCTAAAACTCTACCAATATAAGATTGTACTGTTTGACATTATTTTTTATCTGCCTCACTTGTGTTTAATAAGGCAGAGAAATGAATCAAAACATTTGGTCACCCTTGATTAGCAACAATACACTTCAGAAGCATGCTACTGTATATTACTTACTTCTGTTGGAATGCATTGTTGGTTCCTCTGTGATCTAAGTCATGACACAGGCATGCTACAAGCAGTGCAAACACTTCCAAATCACCAACCACTCCCTCCATACCTCCACTCTGAAATGCAAATTCAATTTAGGGTAGGTCTTTAATACAAGCTGACAAATTTGCACGACATACATATATACATCTATTTAAAAATTCATTTATTCTATTTTTAAAATCTTGCTCCAGTAATTTATACAGTAACATCTATATTTTAAGTTATTTGTTCTGACAAACCTTAATCATCGCAAACATCGTCTGTGCCACATTGAAAGCATGTCTCCAATTATGATAAGTCACAGGACGATAATTCTTCTTTACACTCAAAAGCCAGCGACAGATCACCTATATAAATTAGTTGACACAAAAATAATTATAAATAAATCACAACTGCAAAAATTCCAATCTGTCAAATAAGACAAAACTAATCTTCTTATGCAAATCAGTAGTTATCATTTCTTTAATGTCTTCCTGATATTCGTTAATTGTGATGCAAAGCATGTCATTATTTAGCTGGTGACCTTGCTCCCCCCCCCCTCTTTATTTAGTGGGATTAACAGACATTAAATTTCAGTTTTTAAATTTTTTGATCTGGTCATCAATGCTTTTAGCCTACTAAATAGGACTGATCACTTTGATGCAGGTGATCTTTTTACCTGGGTGAATGCCAAACATTAGACCCACTCAATAAGAAGCTTCATATTGATCTTGATATCAATCTAACTTGTCCAACTGATACTAGATGTGCTGTCAATAAACTGGGCAACAAGCTAAGTCAAGATAGAGGTGTTCATATCCCTATTCATCTATTCCTGCACATCATCAAGACGTCATTGTATCAGGACATCGCATACTGGTCCTACTAAAGCTTAAAATCATGGGGATTTACCAGCCCAAAGCTTGACATAGTTCTTGACACCTGAATATTATCAAGCTGTCATTGGTCATTCTTGAAAAGCTGCTGGGCATACACTGACATACAAATCAGGCAAGATTAATTCTTGCCATATGCCACTAGGCTCATATGCTCTTAAACCTCTTCTATTCAAATTCCAGTAATTTTCTGATGTACATTTAAAAATTTCATGGAAATTTGATAAACTTCTACTATAAAATTACTGCTAGATTTTGTTAAATTTTTACTGAAATCCATACAGTTCTATAGAATTTGATACAGACTACTTTCGTGAAAATAAGACTTTTATTACAGGTAAGTTTATGGGAGTTAACCACTGTAAAAAAACAATTTTGGTATGCGAGGATCGAAGTAACTCAATTATCTCAATCATCAAGGGAATTTTGGATTTTATGGAACTTATTTGAGAAACAAAGCTTTGAAAATAAGAAATTTCTCCCCGGGAATGTATTCTTATTCACAACACATACAAGATTTATTTTGAGCATAGAAAACAAAATACTTACATCGTAAGGCACATGGAACAAATTGATCAGATCACACTCTTGAAACATCCTTATAGAGGCAGTTAATGTCTCATCTTCATTCAGTTGCAGATCATCAAAATTAAAGGTGAACAGTTGTAACTGATCAGCAGATGGAATTACTGCAGTCTGAAAAAAAAGAAGTACATTTTAATACCCAGTATTAATATCTAGATACAGGCAGGCATCATGTAGGGATTACACTAGATGTCTCCCATTAAAATAAAGCCTGGGGGCAATATGAAGTAACTTGTAATTAGACGACAAATTTTTCCCTATATGCTGCCCTTGAGCTTAAATAATCTAGTTGTTTGAAAACAGTTTGTAGAGTCTACCTTAAGTCTGTGGGTTTCCTCTGGCTGAGCAGTTGCATGGTATGAGAGCACTTCCAATGCCACGGTTTGTTTCGCCATTAATTGACAAGCATTCTCATACATCTGGGTATTATGCATACCAAGACCGCAAAAGATTGCAAATGCCTGAAATAAAAAAATATAAATATAAATATTTTGTACCATCACCCAGATTTCAGCATCACGTGATATCATTGTTTATACAATATACATAATATCAGATGAATACATGTACTCTCTGCCATTCGCCCCAACATTCAATTTGAGAGTGAAAAAACATGTTTAATTTAACGGCATGAATTACTCGCAATGAAAGTTCTTTGAGACTACTTCGTGGCATTGCATAACCACTTTAGCTTAAAAATTTCACGACCAGAAAAATTGTAACCACTCATGGTATAAAATGGGTTTCATGTACAACTAAATTGTTTCAAGCAGTAGTATAAATATAACTCAAAAA